TCTGCTCGGCTACCCTTTTGGCCAACTTCAAAGCCAGCAGCGCTCAATGAAATTGACACCCGCAGCGCAACAACAGCTCCAACTATGGATGGGTGGCAAATGAATGTGTAGCGAAATGGAAGGACCTTCCCCTGCCTTGGCAATAAAACCATTTTAATGAGATTCGAGCTTTAAATTTCGCGCCTTATTTACGGCAGTGCTGTGCGGCGACTGCGCAAATGGCATCCCAGGTATTACCAAGCCCCTTCCTCGGTTACTTAACTCTTCACGGATCGAGTACGCCCAACAATACAACGTGAGCCATGCACAAGCGTTAACTTAATTATACAACTCCATTGGGAATTTTAATTAAAAGCATGCACAGGCTTTAATTGATTTTCGTTTATGCACATCCCTAGCATAAGTAGGCGCCAGGCCCTGACCACAGACACAGGACATGGACAGGCCACAGCTGAGGAGAGCTAAGGAGCCCACTTAGAGAGTGCCTGGCAAATATTTTAACAACTTTGTTTCGGCGTTTTTATGAAAACTGCCTTCGAGAGATGGAAGTGTACACAGTTAATAATAGAAACCATTTACTATGCAAATATTTGATCCGGGTGGAGTTCGGGATTGGTAGCGGCGGGTCATCTCGAGCAATTTTTCACGCTTAGCATATGAGAACTTTGAGTTTTGGCAGCTGGACGTGAGCGACAGGAGATGAAAGATGAGCGTAGTCGGGACTCGACACTGGGCTGAGAAGTCAGGGTGCAGGCAAGTGTGTGTTTGCCATGAGTTAAGTATGACTTACCAGCACTCTGGCCCTATATGCATGTGCATTGTATAGCCCATGGGACCCATGGGACGCACACCGAACTTTCACACAGTTTGGCGAGGCAGCCATGAAAAATTAAAAAGGGATTGCCATGCGGCAGCAGCTGAAAAGCGTATTCAATGGCAGCTCGAACAACTTTTTCCACTCACTCGCCTGTCAGCATTTTCTTCTCAATTTTTCTTCTCTATTTTTTTGCAGCAACATCATGAAAGATGATATATGTGTGTTGGACAAGTGCTTGAGTTCGAGTGGAATGCGGCTGCGGTGCTGGCGCTTGCTGCTGTGTGCGAGGATGTGGGCTAGTCAGACACATCCGATAAGTGCGCTGCAGTCGGGCCAACCATGTGGCTAGCATTTAATTATAGGGATTTCCCTTTGCTTTGGCTAAACTTCTTCTCAACAAATTCTTTGCACCTTTCAGGCGTAGAAGTGCAAGCAAATCGAAGACTAGGCTTGCTTAATGGGATCCAGCAGCAGAAAGCCATAGAGGAAGCCATGTTTTGCCACTCCCAAGGGCAGCAAACATGTCGTGGGGACAACAAACACCAAGGGTGCTTCACATTTTAGTTGCTCGATTTGGTGACCAGGACTTACCTTGTGCAATAACAAAAATTCGTTGTAAAAATGTAGTTGCCACTGATGATGTGGATGCTGCTGCTGCTGCTCCTCTGGGTTGTTGTTTTAGCATCAAATGCTTTGGCGAACTTTTGGCTTAGTTGTTGCTGGCAATTTGTTGTTTGTTACTTTTGTATTAGCCCTGGAACATTGTGGGCTCTGTTGCTCTTGCTGATGGCCCAAAGAGTGGACCTGCTGCTGCTGCTGCTGTTGTTGATGATGTTGCTGATGCTGCCACAGTTTTGCTTCATTGTTTGTGTTTTCCGAGAGAGAGAGAGAGATAGCGAGAGTTGGAGTGGGACAGAGAGGGACAGAGGGGAGTTTTAAAGCGCCCGGTGCTTATTGTTTTAGCCACTTCTCATGGAATATATTTGGCAACTATTCTATTTTGTTGTCCTCTGGCCTTTTAGGCAATTGTAAGCACTCTCTGTTGTTGTTGTTGTTTGTTTTGTGATGGATTGCCTCCTGCCTGACGAATTGTTCACGGCCATTCGACTGACGATTGGGCAGAACAATAACAATTTAATTTTTAAAATATTTTTGTGTGTTTTTTTTGTGTTTGTTGTTGTTGTTGAAGTGCTCCTCACAGCCCATATGGCAAAAGATTTATGACCATACCAAATGGCAAGCGGCTGTCTTGCCCTCCCCCAACGCCATGAATTATGCAATGAAATGTATTTCATTTCTCCCCCATACTGTTTTTGTTACTGGTGGGAGGGATTACATTTTTTTTAGGATTGTCGAGCTCTTTGACAGACTTTCGTTATTGTTATAAATGAGAGAGAAAACGATTCTTTAATTTATGGAGAAACAAACGAAACTCTTCCCTAACGTCTCCCGGCTGGGACCCGTTGACACCTCGGTCCTGACGGATTCTGTCTTTCGGGACCTGCCATTCCCGGCAGCCATTGTCCTGGTGGCTTCCACTTATTAGTCTGCGCTTTGAAAATATTTGCATACGAGGCACGTTTCAGTCATTTTTCTTCTGCTCATTCCTTTCATTTTGTTCATGTTATTATTATTATTACTCTTGCTCTTTGCTGTTACCCAACTGCCTGTCCCGCCCGGTCTCTCAGCTTTCATTTTCCAGCTCCGACCCTTCAGACCTTCCTCAGATTCTTTGCACCACATTAAGCTCATTGTAGCTCAAGCAAAATGGGCAAAAATATGCAAAAAGAAAAGTATTTGAATCAGTTATATCATTTTTTAATGCCGAGCATTTCCCTGAATATGAAATTTCTCACGAAATTTTAATGGAAACGCTGAGAAAGCGAGAAAAGTTGCTTAAATTAAGGAATTTCGTTGGCATGGATATTATTTTGCAACTCTTTAAGTAATTATTTATAAGTAATAGCTTGAAAAAAAAAACCTCTGTGAGGAGATCCAACATATTATCTGTCTTCGCTCCTTTTACATCATTGCTCACCGAGTGGAAAAGAGAGTACAAAAACGAAAGCTGCCAGCTCGAGAAAATAATCCTTAAGATGACCTGACCCCCAATAATCCACTTAATCCGCAGAGCCGAACACGTTGCCTCATATCAGACAAATGATTTCAAGCTTTCCACGAGCGAAGGGGAATATTTGGCATGTCTCCCCCAAGTCCCTCCTCTTCTGCTCGTCCCCTGATTGCTGCTGTATTCCGAGACCTTCCCTCCATGTAGCACATCAATTTGTAATTTGTAAATGAAATCGCCTTTGGTTTGGTGGCTTCCCTTTATTTTATTGTGTTTTATTCTTATTTTGGCCTTTTCGCCCACCAGAAAAATGCAAATTTGTCAAATTGATTTAAAGCCTTGATGCTGGCCAAGTTAAATGCCAAAAATTAATTACACATGCAGGCCCAGCCCTCACACACGCTGCCGCTGCCGCTGCCGCTGCAGAGCCCCCGGCCGCAAAGTGTTTCTTCATTTGTTTGTTTCACTTGACACTTTTTGATGTTTTGAACTTTTGAACTGGCTTCAGCTGCAGCCTTTGCTCACTTCTTGGCTGCTCGCTAGTGGCTGGTTGCATTCCCTCACTGGCACTAGTATCCACACTTCGCAGAAATCACACATTCAGTTGGCAGCTCCTGTTTCAAGCAACTGGCAACTGCCGCTCCGGCCGCAACGAGCACTGCCGCAAAACGAACATCGCCACGCTCCCGATTCGACTGATTTGCCGCTGCAAACTGTCCTCTGGGCCAGCCGTAAGAAAGGGCCCGAACCGTGCCATCCCATTTCCGTCCATCATCCGAGCCGAGCCGAGCCGAGTGGCTTGGCTCTTATCAGGGCCGAGCGGGTTCCTCGTTGTTGAAGTTGCTTCGGGCAACGCAGTCGCAAAACGAGAGAGAGCAGCCGGCTTTCGTTGGTGAATGTGGTGGATTTCTCTCTCCCAGGTGTTCGCGTTGGTGTAGTCTCCGACATGGTGAGGTCGGTGGTCGGCGCTTATCAGTTGTGACTCTCGTGTGTGAGGGGAACAGTGTAACTGTTATCTCCTGCCTTCCTGGCTGTGGCCGTGTGGACGTCTCGTCTTCCCTATTTGCCTGGCGAATGTGGTCAGGCGTCTGGTCAGAATGTGCGAAATGTTGAGCAAACAACGTTGCCAAACTTTTGTTTGTGTGCCGTCTGTTCCCCAGCCTCCGCAGATGATGGAGCTAGGACAAAAATCACTTATCCCTGGCATTTCGTTTATTGATTTGAGATCTTTTTGGCCTTCGAAAACATTCATTAAGGCCAGGACTCCATGCCACCATGTGGGACGTTGATTATTCAAACAGTTCTACACTTCCACTCACGTACTCTGCATTGCATTAGGGAAACATCAATGTGGGGTTTCGTTGCAGGAATTCATGAATGCAGTTTTAATTTAAGGAAAAGTTACCCTTTCCCATTGCCGCCTATTGTTGATATGTTTTGGGAGATTGCCTCTTATTGCTCATTCAGAAAACAGCTTTCATTGAATCGAAGATAGTCAGTCTATTCATCGCCAGTCGAGATGAAGGCCATGCAAAGGCAGACAAACATTTCCAAGTCGCGTTTTCTGTCTAGCCACAATGGGCGCCATTCCCGCGGCGGTGGCTCCTCCACCTCGGTGGCTGTCACTTTGGAGCATTCAATCTGACTTTCATGCTCCTGTCAACTGGTCGAGTCGGAGTGTTTTGTTTCTGGCCACTTTACCGCCACTTCTCCCTCGTCAGCCATCGCCATCGAGCTTGCTGTGTTGCATCCGCCACAAGGATGATTTTCCTCTGGAAAATCAATTCATGGCCCGTCCCGACATGACAGCCTGGTTTATTGGCTTCCATTTGGCCCGCTAAAGAGGCCAAACTAATTACCGTGCATAATAAATCAGATCCCTGTCATAGTTTGCCATTAGCTTGACACCACCCCCTCTCGAGGCACTGGCTCTTCTAGCATTTATGCAAATTGCAAACAATACCAGAGGGCAGCGAGGAGTATCGGACGTGGTTCACCGTCTCGCGCTGCCTGGTCCTTGCCTTATGCATTATTAATTGCAATTTGTTTGATATTTTTTCCAAGAACATTTTACCCTGCTGCAGTCCCTAACCCAATAAGGGACACTCTGCACTCTGCCGACCACGCTGACAATCGAGTTTATTTATGCAAAATTAATTGATTTCCATTGAAAATGTTGGAAAACCAGAAAAGGCAGGCAATTGACACATTTTCCTTGAGAAATCAGCAGACAAATGGGAACTTTGGGCTCCCCAGTAATGACGGGTAATTTATAATTGTGGCACAAAATGGGAACTTTGTGGCGTGCCTCCACTGATGATTGGCCAAATTGCCGCAAATTGATCACCAAATCACATTGTTATTTCCCCTTCCACATTGCGTTCGACCACTTTCCCATGGCACATATAAATTATAAATTAAAATAACGAAGACTGATGCAGTGATGGAGGGTCCGCAGTCCATTGGTAGTCATGATTAATATTGAAAGAATGATTGGTTTCTGTGGAATAGTATGGAAACAGTTTAGCTAGTTTCACCCAGTCACGGTGCCACTTACCGCAGTTGCCTGAAAAAGTTGACTTTCCTGCGCACCTCGGACACATTGTGCATGTGATCATCGAGGAACTTGTAGGCCAGTCCCGTCTTGGCTTCAAAGTCGTTTTTGGGCAAACGATTGAACATGGGATCAGGAGTTTCGGCCCTCGGCGCCAGGGCCTTGAGGCGCGAGGGATAAGGCTGGGAGTAGTGGCGCATGTAGCTGGTCACCAGAGGCAATTCCAGATCATCTTCAATGTCAGCAGAACCATAACGGGGACTAGGTACGAAATCAATTGTTGGATAATCCAGAGAATGGTTCCCCACTTACTCATCCATGTTGAATGACTGAAAGTTGACCAGCTTGCGCTCTACTGAACGCACCGCTCTCTGCACTTTGGCCCCCTCTTCTAGCATTTCTTGAGTGGCAGTCTTCATGTAGTTGACATCTTTGGCCATGGGGTCCCACAGCCTAGTTTTCCTCTGGCACGACATGTTGTGTGTTGTGATTGCGGCAACAATAAATGGGTGTTGAACGTATTGAATGTGAACTGAGAAAGTGAAGGGTAGCTCTCAGCATGAAAGGGGATTACTAGAGTGAAATATGGTAATTTCGATAATACAGTGCTCGATTTCCTGCTCATGTCAAGTTCTCCTCCACAATGCCATGCACATGAAAACAGAAATCACGTCATTAGGCAGAGAAAGAGAGATTTGGCAGCAGCCCATGAACAATATTATGAATGCCACAATTGAATTCACAAATGGTTTTATTGTGAGCGGATGCAAATGATTTCTCAATCAATAGACAAATGAAATGAAACGAAATTCGAGTACTGGGTCAGCAGCAGAAGGTTTCCCATAAGCAGCCCATTTGCATTCCATGCAAATGCAATTCCAATCAATGCATTGCTGGCGTGGCGAGAGTGTCGTAGCAGAGTTTGGGTTCTGTTTAGCGGGCAACCAGGATGCAATGCCCACATAACAATGCCCGATTGGCTCTTTGGCGGCTATCATAACGAGCTGCCACCTCTGTGGGCTCTTGCAGCCTCATTAATACGGGCTAATTAAACAAATATTACGCTAGTCTGAGAACGACCCACGAGTGTGGGCTGGTGTAGGTGGAGATGAGAGCGTGACACGTTGGGACAACTGGCTGGCTGCTGTAGAAATTTACATTTCGTTGCCGTTCATTATTGAAAGCATCTAAAGCCTTAAGAATACAGAGGTAACCATGAAGCTAAGGTTTAAAATACACAAAATAGTACACAATTATATTTATTGTTTAAAAGTATAGCGTAAAAATTAAATGTTATTAGAATTGGATAATCTTTTGTCGTCTTGTCTCGCTCACACCTTTTTCGTCGGAGGCTGAATTAAAACTCTCTCGGCGTCTCTCTTGCCGATCTGCTCTTCGCTCTCGTCTCAATTCGCTCTCCTTCGTTTTCTCTTTGCGTTCTGCTATAGCGTTTGCAATTCGCCGTGACGCCAATTCGCCCTTGCTCGTGCCCAGCTCACATACATATGTAAACATAAATATATAGCCACGATCGTCTTTTAATATTATAATTAAGTCTTGTCACTTATTCTGCTTTCAAAGTGTTAAGTCCCAAGCAATAGAAGTAGAGACAAATATGTCACGCAAGTATGTATTTCCATCTCTATTTGGTAATATGTACGAACATATTTATGTGCTTACGACTGTGCAAATCAGGGAGCTTGTATCAACAGTAGGCAGAAAGAGACGGTCGTCAATGACACGAAACCAAATGTGTAACAACACAACGATGGCCGATGCCCGTCAAGGTGTGGGGAGAGAAGTGAAGCAGAAAATGAATGCAGTGGGATGTGGCGGGGAGGGGGGGACGAAGTGGAGCCCCGCCATGCGGTTCATAATTTATGCGGCAGCATTTGGCATGCGTTGCATTTCACAGCGCATAATTTGCATTTTTAAGCATTTTCGCAGTGCATCGGCCATAATTAAAAGCAACGATGATGTCGACTCCGGTCGGGACTCCGGTTCCGGCACTCCGATTCCAAGGCCAGATTTTATGGGTAAGACTGAAGACTCCATGGGGAAAAGGCAGCCGCGAAAGCGTTTCAAACGCAATTAGGGACATGGATGAGGTGGATGCCGAAGATGGTGGAACAAGTCAAGTTTCTCACCTCAAAGTCTCTGCCTCACAGTTGACTTGGCCAAGGTTTTTTTTTTGGGGAGGCAGGCAGCCGTGCCGCACTTAACAAATTAATGTCAAGCCACAATAAAAGTCAACAGCTGGTTGCCGCTTGTGGGCAGTGGCAGCCCCAAGAGCAAGGGGAGACGACGAGAGAAATGCGAAAAAAATGAAGGTGAAAGAGCTGCAGAAAGCAAAGTTGAGTGCAATGTCATGCTGCGACAGCAAGGCGCTGCTACTGCTGCTGCTGCTGCTGCTGCTGCTATTTCTCGGAGTAGATTCGCACAAGTTACATAAATACATTCAGAGTGCATAGAAATGTACACCTGGAAAATACGAGCACGTATGAGGTGCGAGGTCCCCCTTTTAATTTGTCAAGTTGTAAAGTTTTCAGGCTGGCAAGGACTGGCGATGGTAAATCAAATTTCACTCTCAACCCGCTTGAGATGCAGCTTAAATATCAAATAATCAGATTTCCGGAGTGCACATCATCGCAACATGTCTACACTCGCACTTTCAACCAAATTCACTCCACAATCTTAGCCGCAATGCCGCAACACACGCTCTCAGATGGAGCTTCCCTTTCTACCAAGATACACGCTTCTGCCTCTTGCACGTTCAAGAGTTTCCCCGAGATTTTGCGCTTGACATATATATAATTTGTATGTCGCTGTCCATGTGTCTGGGCAGGGCCGTTGCCCAAATGGGGACTCTAAATGTATCTTGCAAAATGGTATAGGGTTGTGCTTGCCTTGACTTGGATGTATGCAAAACACCTTTAAAGGAACCACCCCTACCGCATCCCAGCTCAGCGCAGTATGTGTGCTGTCTCCGTGTTCCTTACTTGCGTAGGAAGGAAACTTCTGGCACGCACGTTCACGTTCGCCTCAACTTTTGATGACTGAGGTGTGAGATTTTGGAGCTGCAACGAGCACATAGGCATAAAATTATTTAAAACGCGAATGCACAAAGGGATTCACGCAGCAGAGCTGCGAAATACAGAATTGTTTGTTGCTTACCAGCCACTAAAAATAATATTTGAATGGGCAGAATTGTGTAGTTTAGTTTGCTGCCTTCAACTAAGAGCTGGACTCTGAAATCTTTTTATTTCTGTTTTATTTCCGAGTGTAATTTCATGCCTGGAACTGGACTGTTGTTGGGCCACTGGGCCACTGCTGGGCACGTTCATATGAATTTTTTGCTTCAAAATGAACTTCCTGTGGCAGCCTGTGGCCAAAACAACTTCACGGCACTTTGAGTCGGCAAAACGGCAGCAGCAGCAGTAGCAGATGCCACAGCAGGGGGCGCAAGTGGAAAAAATGCAGTTAAATGAGCGGAAATGCAAAATTAACTCGCCACGAAAGCACAGAACAAACAAAGAAATTGTTGTACAACTACAAAAACCCACCTCACACACACACACACACACACACACACACAGATACAGACAGAGCAAAGCAAAATGAAGAGGAAATGGAAAATGAGAAAATCAAGTGGCGTAGAAAACGGAGTAGCCCGGTTCAAGGAAAAATGCGATTGAAAGCAGTAGAACGGCAGAGTAGGGGAGCGGAGCAGAAAAAAAATATATTATAGTAGAATAAACGTTGCCACTTGGCCAAATTTAATGCAAATATTTGGCCAACCGCAAAAGAAGAAGGCCTGGAATGTTGTTTTTCCTTCTCCCCCTCAGCTGCCACACCACTGACTACGTGAAGTGGAATTGGAAAATGAAGTGGCTAAAACAAATTAGCCTTGGCAAAACGAAGTAAAATATGCAGCACTCTATTCTGGTTTTTCTACCGATCTTTGCCAGTAAATGTGAGCAGGGTGCAACTGGATTTAATACTTGGGGCACAACAGGCAGGCATGCTCGTACACATGTACATTAATACATACAAATGTACATAGATATAAGTATATACTTGGATTGTTTATGAGTATATGTATATGTCCCCTCAAATAATTCCGCTTGGCATGGAATTCCGCTGAGCTTGATAAATAGGAGCGAAACGTTCGAGAATTGTGAATGATTTATCTTTGTGCCTTCCGGTTCTGCGCTGGACTGCTGTTTGTTCGCGGCACTTTTCAGGGTTTTCGAAATTGTATTTAATTGGTGGGGTGGAGTCTGTCTTTGGCTTTGTATTTAAATTAAACAAACACTGCAGAGCCATGAAAATGACAATAAAACTAACAACGAAATGTACAGACAGTCCTGGCTCTGCACGGAGCATTCGTTGGCACTGACTTTGGCATTTCCAGCCGCACTGACTTGGTACAATTAATGGCCACCTTTCAGCCTCCGCCTCCGCCTCTGCCTTCGCCTCCGCCCCTGCCGCATTCCCGATTCCGCGCAATTATGGCGGCCATTGTGTAAGAGCCTTTTGCCAAGTGTCTTGTGTGTCATCGTCACCGCTAAATTTAACATAATCCCTGAATTCTCCCAGTGGGCGGACTGCCCTGCAGTCGCGCCTGCAAAATTGTTGGCAGCTGACGCGACTTGGCCAGGATGCTATGTGAGGTCCTTTGTTAGCCCTTTGCTTCCTCAGCTACCAGCTCCCAGTTGCCAGTTCCCTGATCCCTGTTCCATTCTCTCATTTGCCTTTTCCTTTTGCGCATAATTAATTTCACGTTCTTGCCAAAAATTATGCGACAGGATTTGTTTTTCCCACTGATTTCACGCTGCTCGTCTGGACTGTTCAGTTTGTTGTATTTATTTTGCATTTTGGCAGCATCTTGTTAGCTGCCGCTTGAACTTAAACCCAAACCCTCAACTCGTCCAATCGGAAGCCATCTGCGGAACCCAGGAACTGCAAAATTCCCCCCCGACACAATCAGGGTAAACGGCTAAGCTGCTGATTCGCAATTTAAGGCAGTCCTGAGTATTGCTTAAAGCAGTCCGTAGTAACCTTCAAAAAGGGTTAAGTTCCACACATAACACACAATGACCCCAATGAAAGTGAAAACTGAAAAAGATTCAAGGATAACATATAACGTATTAGCTATATAAATGAAGAATTATTGTAAGCATACAAAATGTGGACAGCCCTTACCAATAATTGGCAACACATTTCTCCATTCATTATTGCTTCGCCCCTGCAATCGATAACCATTTAAATCCATTGCTGGCCATAAACAATTATTGCTGTTGCCGGCAAAACAAAACTCAGACCGAAATGTCAATGCTTTGGCGCTGCTCAAATGGTGCCTAGGCCAGCGCCCCATTAGCCACAGGCGGGCAGCCATGGGGCATTCGGCCAGACAGAATGTTGAATGCTGAACGGCTGAGCTTTTTATCTTCATAAAAACGCAGCCAGACAAAACAGACAGAGCGGGACAGAGCCAGACCCAGAGCCAGACCCAGACAGAATCCAAAA